CTTCGTTACAAGTAACGAGTTACTTCCATTCCCTGAATTTATACATATTTACATAAGATTATATTTGGACAAAATGCAAGAAATTGTCCTATCTACAGTAAATGATTATTTAGAATTTGGAATCCTAATTTTTCTCATATATTTTTTTCTAGTTCAATTTATCATTAGATGGGCTACATTATGTATATATACATATGTGTATATACATATATATATACATACATATACATACGTACAAATATATGTATACACATGCATAAGCTACAAAGTTATTAATTTACAAATAAAAGTTGTTCTATTTACCATTTATGTTTGTGTGTTAGTATAAATCTAAGTTTTTTAATTTAATATAAAAAATACAATAAATTCTCTTTGTATAAAATTAATGACTATATATGCATATATATATATATATATATATATATATCAAAGTATACAGTATAAAATACGAAAAGATAAAACTATTGTACCATCGAATTGCAAGATTGCGAGTTTGTTCATATCCTTTTTTTGGCGATAATAAATTCCTCGTCATCAGAGAAACGATTTTACATTCACCTATACGATAGCCTAACACGTGTAAAATGATATGGCAATCAATCCAAGCTAACCATCCACTAAAGTAACATGTCTGTGCATAGCTTTCCTATCCCCAGTGTCCTCATCCACGCGCAATCCCTTTGGAGCTGAACCGTCGAGTATAAATCAAGGTTATTAGAGGCATCGTATTCATCGTAGTAGCCCCATGTCGGTAATTTTGTATCAAATTGTGGTGGAATAGATTGCGGCATACCATGGTCGAGATCACCGGTGAAACTCTTAATGATGATACGATGCTTTTAATAGTAATGTGTGTATTTCGCGCGTGTATAATAACAATTATAATTAAAATCATTACTTTTTACGATTTTTATCAATCGCAAATTTTTGTTTTCTTTATTTTCTTTTTTTCTTTGCTTACTAAACATAGATTCCAGAGTGACATTTATAAAATATTCTTGTAGGTTTTATCGTTTCTTTTTGTATCATATTAATTAATTGTGAGAATTGAATGTCTTGCGAAAAGTCATTGCGAGAGTGACATTCTCACTGACATCGGACGGAGGATGATAGGATTCGCGTGTTCGTCTCCGCAGTACAACTCGTGACTCGAATTGCCGCTCAGCGGTGAGATATTTTGTTCTTTAGATCGAACAATGTGGTTCGCTTTGCAATGTGGAGCGAATACAGCGTCGATATCGGTTAAAGGGTTGAGCGCTCGTGCCGCGACACGTGAATTCGAGTCCCGGCTGCCTGGAGGGTTCACCCTGAGCCACCCCCGCTGGCTCGCCGTCGAGTCACGTGCACACGACTGTCGTCGTGCATGTATCATCGTGTATCTCCTCTGTCATGTGCACGCGACGTCCAGCGCTCCGTTACAATGTGATACAGTATGAAATACTATTCCCACTTCCTTTATCTTTCTCCTTGTTTGCCTTTGTGTTTGCGCGTTTGTCGCTCGCATTCACGCTTCACCCTCCGGGGTTCACATCTCTTATATCGAATTCGATTGGCTGGTACTGTGATAGATACCATCGAATAGTCAGATTTGCCATAAGAGATGTCTATTAGTTGCGACATAAAACAAAAAACGGAAGAGGTTTTGATAAATTTAGAAGAATCGAGAGAGATTTAACGAGAAAAGAGAGACACTTGTAGAAAGATATACGAAGAATATCTAATTTACATCAAATCGAATATAACAGAAAGATATAATTATACGTATTCCAAATTACATTTTTATTTTAAAAGTTTGATTGGCATAAAAACAAATTCTCTTTGTATGCATTTACATACGTGTAGTACATTTACATGTATGTAAATGCTATGGGTATAACATTAACAACAAAATATTTTGTCTGAATGGGAAAATAATTGCTTTCACGTCAGTATGATTCTTTTGGAAATAGTAATTAGAAACAGATTCTCTATTAGCTCCCTTTTTCTTTCATTCTTTTTTTCTTTTTTTTTTTTTAATAACACCTGCGCATTCGTACAAGGTGGAATCGAACGACCCCGTTACTAAGGCTGCCTGTTGCAAATAACGGATTATCTTCGAGGGTATCAGGTGCTAGTTCAATCTGAACCGATCGCAATTCAATTTCAACATTCGCTCAACCCGCTAACCGACTACGAGCGACCAGTTTGCAATTTACGTGATGCCGTAACTTTGTCAAAGTTACTCGGGCAAAATTTCAGAATATCCGTAATTCATAATGCTAATCGACATTTTTAAACAATGTTGATCGAGTCTGTGCTAATTGCGTAATTACATTTTCGAAAATATTTGATACAAACTTTTTGCTCTTTATTGTTTCAGACGGTGTCAATCTCGATGTTATTGCGCTACTCGCATCATCAGATCTTTGTCTTTATCGGTGAGTGATACAATTTTAGACATTTTAATATTTAATAAAGTGAAATATTTTTATAGTTATTTTTACCGTGAAAGAGAAAGAAATAATACAAGACACAAACAAAACAAATTGATTATTTTTATTTGATAATTTGATTAATGTATTTGGGAGTGGCGTTGTAATTCATAAATAATATTCAGATAAAGATCGAAGTTCTATTAATTATTCGTTTAATCAGCACATTATTTATTACACATTTATTATACTTTATGAGCACGGGCATGTCCTGAAGGGGTTTAGGGAGTTTAATCCTTCCGAAATCTCCTCTGAAAAGCAATTAAAAAAATTATTTCCGCAATATAATGGCAGAAAATCGTCTAAATAGCATGTCTCTTCATCATTCGTTTATGTCAATTCATCGAGATATTATTGTAAAAATATGTTGAATTGCTTTGGGAAAAAAATTGTCGCATAGTTTTTTAATTTTATAAATTGTATCGAACGATTTTCTTTATCTCATTTATGTATCATTCCCCCCTTTATTTGTACTTAACTTAAACTTAACGTCACATTTTTAATAATAGTAATATTTTTCTTATAGGAGGCCTTTTTCTATATTCTTTTCTAAGCTAAAAAAAAGGATTTTTAGTTAGGAAAATAATTATGAATATTTAGTACGTAATATATAATAATAACAGTAGCACAATATTAAAGAATTACACATTTCGTTTTTAATATATAACTGTACTTTGCCTATATTTCCTTTAGGAAAAAAAAATTGTCTAATCAATTTCTTATATATATATTCACTTATGGTGTTAATGTAATTGCTGAAGAAGACTCTAACCATGGGTCGAAACGTTTAATTAATTGTTATACACAATAAATTATGTCGCAACAACATCTAACTTTGGCTTTCAAAGGCTTTTATTTTTATTTGATTTACTTCATTAGAACCTATATAATTTCTATTGTTTAAAAAAATAAAAGTTATAATTTATAAAATATCTAATCAAACTATTCAAGACTCCTTACAAATCAAAGAATTGGAAAGAGTAAGGGCACTAGGAGTCAGGCGCAGAAGACATCGCGCAAATAATACACTTATAAAGAGTAAAACTTCTTTATTCACTAATAATCGCGTTTAGTGAATAAAGAAGTTTTACTCTTTATAAGTGTATTATTTGCGCGACGTCTTCTTCGCCTGACTCCTAATGCCCCCCCCCCTTTACTCTTTCCAAAAAAATTCTTTATAAAATAATATTTTTCCCATTTAAAATCAGGAGAAGAAAAAATATTTTAAGTTTTGAAAGAGCTTTAAAATTTAAAACATTAAATTTAATTAACGCAAACATTACTGTTTATATATAATAATAAAATTGATAAAAATCTTCCTGAAAAGAATTCTGGATATGCCCATGTTCATGAATAATGTGCAGATAAAGATTAAAGTTCTATCGGTAATTTGTTTAGTTAGCATATTTTGTGAGTTTATTTTTTTCAGCTAATTAAACAACGTTTTTTATTTTGTAATGGAATTAGCTACTTAAAATTGACACAATTCTAAACCCGAAATTGATGTTATTATGAATACATTGGTTTAATAAGATATTATAAAGTTTAACCAATACTTATATACAAGTATTTTGCATGTATGTGTATGTTGTTTAAGCAAACTACGATCAAATCTCTTCTGTAAAAATTATAGAAAGAATTTTATGGCTTTCTCGTACACTTCTTTTTTCTGATACAATTGACGATGTAGAGAACGAAACTTTTGAGTTTCTACAGGTACTTTCTGTACCGAAACTACACGTTTCGCGGATTATCTGCGTGTCTAAATCCATTATTAAAATGCCAACGTTTCGTAAACATTGCAGTTCACTTCGTCAAGGCGAGGGGCAATCTGATACTGAGTATCGAGGTAGCTTACTCTACTGGACACAGAGATAAATCGTGAAAACCGTGTAGCTTCTATAAAAGAATGAAACTTCCATTTTGCACAATTTCATTTTTTTAATCTCTGCATTAGTTATTTCTATTTGTTAATAACCAAGACCACGTATAATGAATCTAGTGACGATTAATCATTAGGAACTATTTTTCTATCGAAAATGCCCAATTTTTATTTAAACGTGAAATAAATTTTTTAAAATTAAATTATTGATGGTTGACTTTTTTTTAGTCATACATGGTATATCGAAAAATATCGCATACACATTTTAATTGATTAATGTCCATTTTTACCAACGTAGATTAACTTTAATAGTTAGAGTTTAATTTACTTTTTATCTTTTTCTAATTCTTAGAACTAGAAAAAGATAAAACATAAGTTCAATCAAGATTAAAGTTAATTTACTCTGGTAGAAATGGACGTGATATAGGCTTGTGCAGTTAGTGATGTAACCCATATTATTGCGATAATACTAAGAGGCGTTTCTCCCTCCCATCTTCGTTTCATTCATTATAAGATCCGCGCAATATATGTGTATTTATAACGTTCTACGCCGCATCCGACGAAACATCTCGTTTGTTATACTCTCACATCACGATGGATTTGTCGTTGTTTTCGTCACCCTTTGTGCTATTATTGACTACTTTGATTATCATTGGCATCTTGAAAGTTGTCGCTGTGCTGCGTCATATATATTTTTACTGGAGGAATAAGGGCGTACCTTACCTGCCAGATTCGCTATCGACTGGTATAATGGGTTGGAAATTGTTTCTGCGTCGCATCACTTTTCCCGATTATTGCAAATATCTGTACAATCACTTCCCGAACGCTAAATATGTTGGGATAATGGATTTTGCTACACCTAGCGTGTTATTGCGCGATCCTGAGTTGATTAGAGATGTCATGGTGAGAGATTTTGAACATTTTCCGGATCATCGCAGTTTTGTTGACGAAAGCGTAGAACCGCTGTTTGGCAAGAACATCTTCTCTTTGCGCGGAGATCGTTGGAAAGAAATGAGGAATACATTAAGCCCCTCTTTCACTGCTAGCAAGATGAAGTTCATGTTTGATTTGATATCGAAATGCTCTCATGACTTTGTTTATTATTTGGTTGACCATCCCGAAATCTGTCATGCGATTGAGATGAAGGGGGCATTCAGACGGTACACTAATGATGTAATTGCTACGGCAGCCTTTGGCATAAGCGTGAATTCTATGAAGGATCAAAACAACGAATTTTACACGAGAGGAGTGGAAGCTACTAAATTTTTTGCTGGATTGCTAGCAATAGTCAAGTTCATGTTTATACGTATATGTCCATCATTCTGTAAATCAATTGGTTTAACCGTTTTTTCATCGGATACGTCCAAGTTTTTCAAGAAGATCGTGGAAGAAACCATTAGAACGCGGAAAGAACAAGATATCGTCAGACCGGATATGATTCATTTACTAATGCAGGCTCAAAACAAGGAAGGTACCAGTGTACACAAAATGACATTGGATGACATCGTTTCGCAAGCTTTCATTTTTTTCCTTGCTGGTTTCGACACATCTTCGACACTGATGTGTTTTGTTGCTCACGAACTGGCGGTTAATCAAGATATTCAGGATCGTTTGCGCAAAGAGGTGCAACAACATCTTACCGAAGGAAGCGATGAGATTTCTTACGAATCGCTGTCGAAAATGTCTTACATGGATTTGATAATTTCCGAAACTCTCAGAAAGTATCCACCAGTCATCTTCATCGATAGACTTTGTGTTAAGAGATACGAACTGCCTCCGTCGCAACCAGGCTGCAAGAATGTAATTGTTGAACCTAACAGTGTATTGATGTTTCCCGTTTATGCTTTACATCACGATCCAGAATACTTCCCGAACCCAGATAAATTCGATCCCGAAAGATTCAGCGATGAGAACAAAGATAAAATTTTGCCGTATACTTATCTACCATTCGGTCATGGACCTAGAAAGTGTATTGGTAATCGATTTGCTTTAATGGAAACTAAGATTCTGATAGCTCATCTTTTACTAAAATTTACTCTGAAGACTACGGAAAAAACCGTTGAACCAATCGTATTCGATAAAAGAGAATTTACGTTGCAACCTGTTGGTGGATTCTGGATTGGTTTGGAGAAGAGAGAAATGTGAAAATCTTGCACGTTATTCTATGATTTATGTATGGAAAAGTATTACTGCACTTTCAAGTTTCAAGATATTTAACGCGTGAATGCACTTTAGCAAATTATTAAAGTATACAATAAGATTTATTTGTAATATATTGTTACGTTTTCATGCAAGATTCAAGTTTTTGTTAATAAGGCAAAACTTAAATACGATAAACACTGTGACTTGCATAAGATCTCGAGTTTACTCGATTGTGTTAGTCGTTTTTAATGACTTATGTAACTTCTACTTGTCGTTCTAAATACACCAGTAGAGATGACAAAGACGAAATATTATTAATTTTTTATACAAGAGCGAATATCTTTATCACGCGAACGTTTTTCGCGTTTTTTATTTTTGAGATAATTGCTTTTCTTATTGTTTCTGTATTATGAATCTTGCAATTTGTTGTAAATTTAATTCAATGTTACATTTTATGAAATAAGTATAACATACAATATCATTAATGTCTGGTGCAACACACTGTACAATATGCTTATGTAATGTGCTATATTATTGCATACCATATATGCATTTGTAATATTTTTTCATAATACATTTATAATATTTTTTTAATCAATAGGATTTCGAAAGTTCTAATAAAATCGAAAATAATTATTGTTATATCAGTTATATAAATAAAAATAAGTCCTTTATAGTATGTTTAAATAAAACTTTTGACACTTTTTACGTGTTTGATACATTTCAGAGATTACTAATCAGATATGATGCATTTTCTGAGATTAGATATTGAAGATAAAAAAATTTAAGGAAACAGTCCATCATATCTAGTCAGTACAAACTGCGCAGATAGTTACCTGCACAAATATTTGCAATAAGCATTTGTTATTGATTACGTTACTTCTTTAATGTTGATTGGGGATGAGGAGTTTTTCTTTAATGGAACTATAGAAATATAATGCTATTTTGTTATATTGTTATCTGAAAGAGTGATAAGATAATAAAAATCAGATAAACTGAAATTACTTGTCACTACAATGTTCTTGATCTTGAAAGTCAAATATATAAATGTAATTTATCCTTTAAAAAATATATAATACGTTGTATACTTTATTTTCCTCTTTACTCTTATTTTTCATTAATTAGCATTGATGCGGATCTTACTGATTTTTTATGTTTTTTTTTTTGTTGAAAATATTACTGTACGAAAATTAATTTAGAACAAATTTTAAGCGTTTTTAATATTAATAGTTACTTTAATATTTATAGTTAGTACTGTTTTGTAACTTAAATAATATTTGAGACAATATTCAACACTCGTATCTTTTTATTTTCTATAAGTGATTTTCCAATGTGATTACAGATGGTTAAAAACTTGCAACTTCGACTTAAATTACATTTAAAAGTAATCGATTAGTTATATTTTTTATAATACTATATATATGATTCTTCGAAACAATAGTTATTAAGTAAGTGATTTTTGAAAAGACTTAGTTATTGGCGAATCAAAAAGTTTTTATTTCAATTTAATTACTGTTTTCGGTAAGTTTGATAAAATAGCGCGTGCTTGATGATTTTTTATGGCCAGTTTCGGAATTAGCTTAAAAAGGAAGGGGAAACTTGAAAGTTTAAACAGAGGCATCGAGGAAAGTTATTTTCGCAGGTTAATCGTTTGAAATACAAATTTACATAGAAAAACAGCATGAAGAGCAGCATGCCTTCTCCATCCATTTACGAGTTTTGGGTGTTCCATATCAGACAATTTGTGTTACGATCAAGTTTCGCTTATTTTCCATTTTTTATTCATGCTTACGATATTTTTGCTAGTTTATTTTTGTTAATAGCGATTCTTAGATTTTTTGCTTTTCTTGTTTTTCTTTTGTTTATATTTTCTGATTAAATTGCTTCGACTGTACAATTAATTTTGCCTTCAAAAATTAAAGTGGCAAGTGTTAAGATTACTTATTAACTTATCCACATATACATGAACCTATGTTGAGAAAGATTTACTTATATAAAACATTTAATGCTTTAATTATTCTGTATTATACAGGGTGGCCCATCTGAAGTGATCCAGTCAAATATCTCGAAAACTAGTAGGGATAGAGAAAAATGTTTCGTATGAAAAGTTTAGGGTTACACGGGGGAAGTATGGTACTGACCTTGAAAAATCCTTGGAAGGTCATTTTGAAGGTCATTCAGGGGTCACGATGGTTTTTTTAAATGGAACCCCTAGTTTTTCACCATGGGATGAGAAAGCTGGTTTCAAGCCCTTTACGAAACACTGGTTGTGGTCCACAATCCACCCACTGGGGTCCGAGTTATGGACCATCAAAGTCATTGATGAACTACTCTTAGCGCTACCCAGGAACAACGACGTGGACGTGGTAGTTCTGAATACGCAAGAGAAGACAACGATTGTGACTGCCACAGTTTGAAACCTGTG